TGTTTCGTCATTACGAAACACTTGTTTGATTGTCACATCAGCAGCAAATAAATCTATCTTTCCTTCAACACGAACGGATTTTAATGGAACGTATTTTGGTTGTTCCGGTAGATCATTTGCAGCTATCAGCATACTTGTAATTCGTAACATCGTTTAACTTTATATGAATGTGTTTCTACCCTCAGTTTTTCTTCTTTATATACGGCGATACAAAATACACAATGAATTACTTATGGCAGGCTGTCGTTGTATAAATAAGAGAATAAATATTTATTTAGTCGACGTTAGGAACATTCGCGATGCAATCCAGGGAAAGGATACATACAGAACCAGAATAAATTATGAATCATATACGTTATAAACTATCAATGTCCAATAAGAATTCGACTTTCACGGAATTGTGCAAGAAAACGTTTTTGATGATTCATTGAGCAAGCTGACTTCGGAAGAGAAAAAATGTATTAAATTGATAATGAAATAAGTGGTATAGTTTATGGTATTCATATTTTTACTGTAATTATCATAGAATGAGGTTGAAATAGATAGATAGAATAAGATCAAGAATTATGATTGTTGAATTACGGCTAATTGCACTTCTTTTTTATGCTAATTTGAGAGAAAACAAATGTACAATAGACAAATAAGTCAGTGGATGAGAATGATTTTTTCCGTAATCGCTATTCGAGTTCATCATCAACGTTGCTCTCATTCGTAACAGTCAGTTTTTTGTCAAAATGTGTCGAGAAAAGATAGTCCATGAAAATTTCGAAGAGAATAATATTGAAACATGCCAAGAAACAGATGTAAATACATCGAGGCTTTTCATCAAAATGAAAGTTGTTTTTGTTGATCTTGGTAATGACATCCACTCACAAGCACAGAATTCTACGTGCTATGCTCGAACGGTATATTCGATTAATTACTGATGCAAACGATGAAATAAGTTTCTCTGTCGCGTCAACAATCGCTATGAGAATCATCGATTTTGTGAATCTTCTTAACAACGGAGTTTTTATCGCTCATAATGCGAGTAACTAGAAAATAGTCTCGATAGCCCTATTCATGTTTTCTTATATAGCTTGCTGATGGTTTGGTACACAAATGGTTCAAAACCGAAACAGACGTAGTGGTGACGACACCTTTCAACGGTACAACGAGGACTGTTGACGAGATCAGCAAATTATTATATAACATCGGTAAGCATTATCTTATTTCTCTTCACAATAGTCTCTCAATCGTATATTCTTTTAGGATTGTAATATCGGTGTGAAGCTAGCACGAACAAACGATGTGTTAGCTAAAAACTTTTCTACTAAGCATGTCCCGTCCATGAAAACTGCACCATTCGACTCAGAATTTAATTCTGCATCGAATGACGGCGCACTTTTATTCGCCGAACAAACTTTGGGAAAATTCTATCTGAATTATAAATAGACCTAAAGGAAACGAACAAAGATATAGATAGAAACATTTCCACAATTTGTCCGATGAATAAAAGTGCCACCATTCGATGCAGAATTAAATTCTGAGTCGAATGGGGTGTAGTTTTCATGGACGGGACATGCTTAGTGAAAAAGTTTTTAGCTAACATATCGTTTGTTCGTGCTAGTTCCGTCGTGCTAGCTTCACACCGATCAAGTTTCTGTCGCATACATTGATGAACAATAGAAAGAGAATCGCCACATAGAATCCCACGAATGTCAGACAACAAGAAAATAAATTCATGAACGATTCAGGAAACTTTTTCTCATCTTATCATCATCAGTAGCATGTCTCATGGGTTTCGCGCCCATCTGAGCAAATCGTTTTACGGAATCCGACTGTTTACGCCTGTCGGTCTTGCACAACGTGGAACACCTCTTGTCCATTGTATTCACACCACTCGATACTTCCATAGCAGATATCATGGTTTTATTTTTACTAGTAATCAAGATAAGATAGCTGAAGGAAAAATAGTAAAGATCATACCGACACACCTTAGAAAGAAACAGATGTAAATGGAGCGTGAGTCACTCATTTTAACTCTAAAGAGACTACAACGACAGGCTTGTTACCGATTGTTCTCCGCGACATTCTGCTCATATGTTATATCCAATTTAAAAATATTCAAAGGACCGATCCATTTCTTGATTTTGCTCATTATGTGTATACATGGAACATGCGAGATACTTGCACGGAGAGTTGTTTCAATTTGACCGCCGATGTGTATTTCGAATAATAAGGCGATTTCTGAAAGTCTATTTGACATCCATGATACAGTTAATTGCAAAAAGATCACCAGAGCGCATTTTATAGCTTGAAAGAACAAAAGTCTTTCGATTAATTTTCAACGATCCTCTAAAACGTTCTTTTATGAACTTAAACTCAACAACACACGGGATTGTACACATCTGACATTTTTATCAACTGACCGTTGTCATGAGATTCGACTCTTTCTCGCTCATACCAATAAGAGAACGTGAGAATGAATAACATTTTACTGTTCACATCGATCTTTTCTTTGTGATGGTCAGCACCTCACATACGTTTGTTGTTTGTCATGCACAACAACAACGATTTCACACAACAATCGACCTACGAACTTGTTGTGGATCATGAAAATGAATTTACGTTATATTGGCTCTTCTATCAACCAATTACAGTTCCAGCGTTACTCCATGGTTTCGTTATCTTACGTCTCATGCATGGATTCGACCGCGACAACGACTTTTACTCTCGCTTAGATGAATGTTAAAATACTCTATGCGAGATGTGAATAACAATAATGGGTGTTTTCATCAATGATATTTCGAACATTCACCAACTTATGAAAATAAAGATTTCGAAACGATCCGTTCATAACTTTCCTTCATACAGATAAAGTTTAGAAAGAGGAATACTTTTTTTGTTATAGTCGAAGACGATCTATAGATTCGTTCGATCGACGTTTGCTGTGAGTGGTGGTGTTTTAGNCGAAAATTTATAAACGAGATGGTGGGAAAAGTTCGACAGCAGAGGAACTGTTTGATTCTGTTCCTTGTGAATTATTAATCATCGGACAAGGAATGGATGATTATGCGGAACAATATCTATTTAGTATTCGATCTGGAAGAATTTATTTGAGGGTCAGGGTGAAGGTGAAGATGATTTATATTTTCAAACTATACTGTTCTCAGCATATCTAGCTTTGAAAGTTAATACCGTTCGCGCTTTCGATGTTCTGAATTTTCGACATTTTTTCTTTCGACCTTCGTTAGGAGAATCCTGTCTCCGAAGTTTTGGATTGGGTAAAATTAGTAAGCTTCATCTCATTTCGTCATCTAAATGTCGTATGTTTTTTTTCAGGATTGTGACTTTAAAGATGTGATGAAAAGTTGAAAAATGATTTCAGATAATTTATTCTAATATAGAAGAATTGATATGAATTTTAAAAAACTAGTTTCATCTGCATTATATTATCATTCGAATTTGACTTGGGATAGAATTGATTGTTTCATTTAAATATACAGACAAAACCAGTCTCAAATAGATGCAAATGTCTCCTTGTCTTCTAAACATTAAGAAAAAAAGCCTCTAAAGATGATAAACATCAACACCAGAACAATCGAGAGAAACCATCTGATCTATATCAAGAAGATTTATATTATATACAGAACGATTCATATATTGATATTTTGATTCTATTTATCTAGTAAATAGTCATGAATGAAAATAGATCTTCACGCCATCAATACGATTGCTTTCTGTTAATCATTATCAATACAACCGATGATTTAATCGTCTTCTTTTCATTCACTTCTTGGTATGTGTTTTATTTAAAACATACTGAACAGTCAAGAAAAAAAACATGTTAAAACCCTATGTAATTTTCCATAGGAACGCGGTTTCAATAGGAATTGATTGTAAACATAGGAATCAATCAAAATTCATCGTATCTGTTGATGGTTTGGTAAGGAAATGTTTTACTTTGATCTGACTAAAAAGTAGAAGAAGAAGAAGAAGAAGAAGAAAATCAATGAGAAACTTATGAAAATAATCATTACCCGTCATTCGTTATTTGTAGATATGAGATTTTCTCTTTCATTTGTTCGATTTGTTCTTCTAATATACTGGTATGTGTTTGATTTGGCTCTAAATTTTTTTCAATTTGATGTAAATAGTTCGAACGAAATTCTTCCATGTTCAATTGTTCAATTAAACTCTTTCCTTGTTTTAACATCTGTTTCGCTTTTCGATCGATTTCGTTTTTACATGTGTTCGTCCATTGATCAAGTTTCTTTTCAAAATTCTCCATCAGTTGTTCATGTGTCAATGTATGGAGTCTCTGCCGAAGATCATTCATTTGATTTTGAAATTCATCTATTCTTATCTGACTTTCTTCTTGGTGTATTTTCTCGTGTTCGACACAAACTCCTCGATTACAATGTGAACAAACGAGTCGTGCCCAGCGATCACATTGAATTGACTTTGCAGAAAGATTTCTATGGCTACATCGACCTAATGGAAGAGGATCCATCTGAAGATGCAAGAAAGATTAAGAAGGAATTCGAATATTTTCTGTCGCTGTATTCTTACAATTGATTAGAAAAGAACAACTCATTCATATTCAAATGTAAAGAATCTGTCAGTCAATTCTCGTTGATTATATAATGAATGTCACTGTCATCAAGAAAATATTCATCCTTGAGAAATTGCTTTGCTAGTAAAGAAAGTTTAATCAGAGTAAATATGACAGAAAAATTCGATTAGAAAAAAAAACAATTCGTTGTATAGAATAACATAACAAAAAACAATTGCAAAGATTATTGAGTAAACTGAGTGGAATGTACACACACGCACACGCGAAAGTATTTGATCATAATATCTGATTAATCTGCATATATATGTATAGAAATGTGAAAACAAAGCATTCATGTGCTAAAACAAAGAGATTCATTCGTTCCGACTAACAAAATGTTGTCAATTAGACTTCAGTAGGTTCTTGATAAGCGTATGCATGAGATGGAGATGGTTTACTAGCAATTTGATGATAAGCTGGTGGAGCTTCATCATGAATGATTCCCTGAGATGAGAGTGGAGTAGCAATTCGATGAGACGTTGGATGATGAAAATCAACTTGATTATATCCGGATGTACTTGAAACAGTTATCTGTAGAAATGAATGTAGATTTGGAAGAGTAATTTAGTCAAATTGACGTACCGGTGAAACGTCGGATGTTCGATTTTTTTGTTGAGCTTCAAATTCTTCTTCTTCTTCATCTTCCGACGATGTATTATCCGTCATCTTCTGTTGTTGTTCAACTTGTAATTGCGCTGGATTATGATAATGATGATGCTGATAATCTTTTTTCACTTCCGTTGGTGTCGTTTTTTGCTCACGTTTTGGAAGAACTATCGGTGGATCTTGTGTTCGCTTTTTAACAGGCAATGAAAGTGCCGGTTGTTGATTTGAACGCAACGATTGAATCGATTCCGAAAGAGATCGATGTGAACCCAATGGTGTATTCGTTCGTGAGCGATTATATGTTAACGGCATTGGATTGATATTTGTACTAACTTCGTCGTGATCTTCTTCGGTTGGTGAATAAGGTCGAGTGGTTGCAGTTGATCGAAAACCTGGAAGAGCACTTGCTTGGCGATAGGAAAATGAAACCGTTGTCGATGGTGTTTGCCGATATGACGAATTTGTGCTCGCCATCGGTGATGGACGTGCAGGTACAGGTGGAGCTTGAAGAGAATTAGTTTCTGCTGACTCGACTAAATGTGAGGTTGATGATGAATCGACTTTTAAAGATTCGTGTTTGTATTTCGAATAATCGATGGGTAAACCGCCCCAACGAGATTTGCCTTGTTTATCATTGGCTAATTTTTCATCTGAAATGAAATTAGGAAATCAATTTTCTGTAAAAAAAATTAGAGAGAACACGTACCACTTAACGATGATTTCTTATCCGGATTTAGTTTTCGTCGTTTTAAATAGACAACTCCAGCGATAATAATTGCAAGTACAAGTAAAAGTAAAATACTGCCGATAATACTTCCGATAATCATTGGAACTTTATAAGATTCTACGAAAAATTCTATAGAAAATGTTCGATTCATTTCTAAAATTCAACCTACTTTCTCGAGTTCCATTCGTATCCGAATCCATTTTCATTACAGTCGATTGTGCTAAAATAGGTGGTCTCATTTTTTTCTCATATCAAACAACATTTTCCTCACTTACGACGAACAAATATTCTAAAATCTTGTCTGATCGTTTTTCCTCTCGATTGCGCCTGACACTGCATTGAATAATTCCCAGGATATTGATAAATTCTTTGAATTTGTCTTGTCGTACCAAAGACAGTTGATGCCCCTGGTACTGATTGCTGATTGTAATCCGCTGACACATCACTTGGCATGTCATACCAAACATAAGATGGACTTGGATTCGCTTCTATTTGACAATCCATAGCAAATGGCTTCAGAGCTTCACTTTCCAAGACAGTGATTGGCAAAGCGCCCGGCTCTAAATTTGGTCCATCTAAGAAAATGAACATTCGGAAATGAGAAGAAGAAAAAGAAAAAGTGAAGACTTTACATTCGATATCGATCGGAACAGTTTTGATCAGATAAACATCGATGTTATTGTTTGATTCCACTTGACATTGAACTGTTCCGTTGTGATCTGCACGTGTTAATGGACGTTGTAATGTAATTGTTCGTGTGAAATTTTGTTCATTTAATGAATCATTGTAAACTTTATTATCTTTTAATACTGACATCGCTGTGCGACTTGATAAAAATAAATCTAACCGAGGCAGATTTTCCGTCCCAGCAGACTTCGATGATGTTTCAGCTAATTTAAATGTCGAACGAATAATTGACACTGAACAAGAAACTAACGCTGAACCATTATTATCTTCACTGACATGAGAATTATGTATTTGAAGTGACGAAACTAAACGAAATTTCATTTTTCTCAAACCTCAAAACTAAAGATCCGTTTTCTTTTACCATTAACTGCACTAAGAATTGTTGTAAATGTTTGCCAATTGGCATCGACTGCTGAATAATATCCAACAGTGGTTGAATCAAGTGAAAGAACAGTTAATCGATTGTTTTGTTCATCATAATGAAATTTCGATTTATTCGAAAATCCAACGCCCATAATATACAAAGAATATCCATTTAAACCTAAATATGTTACTTTAATCGATGGCGGGGCCACCTGAAACGTAAATGCTTGAGATAAATTTCCAACCAAATCAACTTCAGTTGAGCGAGACGACGAACTTCCTATCTGAGTATTGATTGGCTGTTGATTTGATAAATTCTGTTGTTGTTTAGGATCAACAACAACAGATGACGAATATGGTATCTGACATATTACAAGATATGGTAGCACCACAAGAGAAACTAAATGATAGATTAGAATTGATTGATAACCTTTGAAAAGTATCTTACCGATAATGATAAACAATTGCATTGTGTTAAATTAATTACAAATAATAAATCATGAAAGCAAAACAAAGGGAAACGTTATCTGCAAAAGAAATGAAATCAATTGCATTAATATTGAAAGCAAAACATATTTCCATATGAATTTATTGTTTCATTAATATTATTTTCTGGCCAAATAGAAAAAAAGAAGAAGAAGAAGAAGAGAAAAAAATGAGACAAAAGAAAATAACCAACAACATCAACAAAGAAGTACGACAATGAAAGAAAGTTAGATTTGTATATTTGAGTGACAAACATAGACAGATTTCGGTTTTTCACTGTTGTTTCTCTATTCGAATAAGATATAGAAATATATACATACAAGAAGAAGAAAAACGAGAGTCAGTCGAAGATACATGAAATGAATAGCTTTGTTGTCAGATCATACCACCGAATATATGAAACACGAGCAAAGAAAAATAGGCCAGAAATGACTAGAAAATGAAATCGAGCGAAAGAGATTAAAGTTTTCTTAATCATTATTGAGTCGAATTGGGTACGCCGGCAGCGGGTGTTATTGTTGTTGTCGCTGTGGTTGGCCCATTTTCGGTCGGCATTAATAATCGTCCAATTTTCTTCGATGAGTGAAGTGTTAATGTCGATTTATTCAATGCATCATTCAATGCCATACGCCATTCATGAAATGAGACGACATCCTAGAAAGTTCGTTCTGTGCGAATTCGGTTTGAAAGAAGCGAGACAAGGAGAACGAGAAAAAAAACTGATCAAAAAGAAAAAGAAGAAATATTTCGAAAATGACAACAAAAGCAGCAACAGAAATAGCGCAGCAATCGTACGACTAGAAACAAATAAAAGAAAGATAGAATACAACAAATCACTGTTTTCTTTTCCATAAAAAGACGAGAAAAAACAAATGTGTCAATTGTTTTCAATCTTGAAGTGTGCCTGCCGTTATATTAGTTTTCTTATTTCCACCAAGAGCACCACCGGATGATGATGAGTTGTGATAATTCCCAGACGATGATTGTTGAGTACTGTTGGAATTGGGAGTTGCTGTACTACTTACATCAGCTCCGTAGATCTTCGATGCCTTTTCACTTACAGTTAAATGTTGTTGAGATGCAACCAGCGTATCATACAAGGCTTTCTTCCATTCAATCCACGAGACTTCATCCTATGGAAGATCGAGAAATAGTCTTCCTCTCCGTTTTTTCCCCAATTGAATAATAGGAAACATGAATAAATAGAAAAATATTGAACGACATACATGCTACATACGATAGTTACAAAAGGCAAGAAAAGCGAGCTAACATGCTACACGACACAAGGAAGAACAGTAAATATGTGAAAGACAAAGAAACGATATTGAATATTCAATAGAGAGAGAGAGAAAGATAAAGCTGATTGTCTTACCTGTGGTGAAAGCATTAGCCGAGGTTCATTTCCACCCCTTAAATGTATGGTAATCGTTTTTTGTCCTTTACATTCTTTTGAATCAATATGTTCAATTCGTTCCATTGTATAAACCTGCAATAGAAGAAAAGAAAAAAAAACGGTTGATGTAATCAAATGTTAAGAAAACAGCTGGAAGGTATGCGTAACATTAGAGGCAGAAAAATATGTTGGATTACATCTTGCCCTTGTCCTGTTATTTCTTGTATTGATTGAGAAAAGCATGTTGAACTTACTTCGGGATCTTTATCACCCTTTTCGTAATGCAATTCCAATCGATTGGGATAAAGTTTTGTGTAACGGATTTGCCATGAGAAACCGAATGTTCCAGTATTCTTTTTTAATTGTCCTTGAAGAATTAGATCGGAGGTCTTTTCGTCGTCGTAAATGTTGTTCTGTTTGAATTTCGCTCGACGTTTTTGTTCGATTTTGTCGGTTTCTTGATTGACTGTATCAAAAACCGTTTCTACAAAGGGAAAACTTGGTTGTTGATGAAAATGAGAGGTTTCTCATACCTGTGGTTTCTTGTTGCCATCGTTCGGATATAACAATAGGAAAATTTTTATACAATTCTTGATCGGATTCGGTGAGCTAAACAAGCAAATTTACAATAAAATCTAACGATCGGAGTGTAAAACGTACTTTAATTCCTTTTGTATCATCTTCGTCAAAGTTGCCAATGTCAAACGCATCGGCAGCATTGACTTCACCACGCGGGGGAATCAACGGTGGGGTTAATTTTAATAAATAAACTTGTTTCCAATCGACGTCTTTAAAAAATGGATGTTCTTTCACTTCTTCCGCTCTACAGAAGAAAAAAGCAGAGAAGCAATGAAGAAAAAAAGGTCTTCGATGACTATTCCTACATTCTTCCCATGCATCCTAAACGTTTATCAACATCACGTTGAAGTAAACCTTCCAATAACGTTCGCATTTCATTTGTCATTGTCTCCGGTAATTCAATCGACTAAAATTTTCCAAAATACAACGTTATTCAATAAATCGCAACATTCATCTTACCATTGTCATGGTCATTTTATCAATTTC